GAAAACAAGCTGGAGAGACAGACACGGACCCAGCCCTGAGGAGAGCAGGGGGAAGAACACGGTGATCACTCCAACACTTGTCCATGGGCTCCCCGTGCAAAGAGAACTCAGCCAAAGACACCGTCTGTACAAAAAGATGCTCTGGGTGAGGATTTTTCTCTGACAACTTAGATGGAGTGAATTAAAAGGGTAAAGCAGATCTGCAGCTCCAGTGAGTCCCAGCCCAGTATGAGGGGGGTTGGGAAGGGGTGTGGTGGGTGCAAGGTTGTTCCCCAGCAGCCGCACGGGCGCTGGAACCAAAGTCCTTCAAGTTAATTTATTTTTTGAATGAGCCAAAATGACAGGAATGCCGAGGTTGAAAGCACTGGAGTGAGTTCAAAAGACATCATTTCCATTGGGAAATAAATCCCTCACCATTTTGTATAATTAGACAAGGAAAATGAAAAACAATTTCAGAAAGAATTCCCAGCAGCAATATCTAAGGAGGAGGCGGGACGTGCGTTGGGCAGGAATGTGGGGCTGGGCTCTGCTGTCACTGCTGGGCACACAAACACCACACAGCATCTCCAGAGTGGCAGGGGTGAAGGAGCTCCTGGACCACTGACCTGCTGTCCCACCAGGAGCGTGGCTGCGGAGCTGGGAACAGGATCACGGCATGGGGAGCTCCAGAGGCATCATCCCACCCATCACCACCAGCCTCAGTGCATGGCCAGAGCTCCTGGAGAGCCACTGCACCCAGCCCATGTGGACGAACCAACGGAGACCCTGAGTGGGAAACCCACAGGGAAGGGAGTCCTGCCCCACGGTCCCAGGCTGGCAGTGGGTGGAGAGATGCAACCACATTGCTGCTGCTTCACCTCTGCTCCTCTCACCAACCCAAACCCACCACCACTACCACCACCACAGCATGGCTCCCAGAACGGTGGCAGTGGTCACTGTGGAAGCACTCAGTCTCAGGTCGGGGGGGACATGGAGAGGCAGGGAGAGGGGAAAGACACCCACAGCTGTAGAGGGAGAAGCCCAGAGACCTGACAGGTTCTGAAGGTCTGTGTACCCTTCTAAAGGTCTCCTTCCCTCAGTGTACCCAGATTAAACGCTGCCATCCCAAAACTATTGGCTTCTTGTGTAGTGGCAGGAGGGAGAAGTGGCTCTGATTTGGGGTTGTGCCGGGTTTCAGGGATAAAGCTGGGAAGCAAGCGCTGTCCCCACCCCGAGCAGCCTAAATGCAGGAACTGGGGGCAGGCTCAGGGGGCACGTCCCTCCCTCAGACCTCCAGTCCCCGGGACAGGGGTGAGGGGCAGCCCCAGCAACGCCGCAGAGCCCGGGAGCGTGGGGGGGTCCTGGCCCAGCCCCACGTCACAAGTGCCATGAGTGGCCGGTCTCAGCTGCCATCTAGTGGGGAGCAGCTGCAGGGCACCAACATCTCTCCGGGCTGGCACAGAGTCTCAGAATCATTTACGTTGGAAAAGACCTCCAAGATCATCGAGCCCAACCTGTGACAGATCCCCACCTTGTCAACCAGACCAGAGCACTGAGTGCCACACACAGTCAATCCTTTAACACCTCCAGTGGTGGTGACTCCATCACCTCCCTCGGCAGCCCCTTCCAATGCCTGACAGCCCTTTCTAGGAAGAAATTCTTCCTGATGCCCAACCTGGACCTCCCCTGGCACAGTTTAAGGTCATTTCCTCTTGTCCTGTCCCTCGTTCCCTGGGAGCAAAGCCCGACCCCCAGCTGGCTCCCCCCTCCTGTCAGGGAGTTGTAGAGAGGGACAAAGTCTCCCTTGAGCCTCCTCTTCCACTCTAGCTACAGGCTTTGCAAGAAAGCCACAACCTTACCAAAATGCTTACCTTGTTCTTTGCCACAAAACACACTGTCTAATTTGTGCCTCTCCTAATCTTGCAGCCTACCACAACCACCATCAGCCAACATAGCTTTTATTCCTGACTCAGGTTCTAAGGAAGTTTCAGAATTACTCTGGCCTCCACCACCTGTATTTGCAAACTTCATCACCAGAGGAGAAAATCCATAGGAAACTGACCTCAGTATCTAAATAAAACCAAACACCACTGACCCGTCAGGGAGTTAGCAGTCTCTCCTATTTCCAGCTTCTGTAATACCAAAGAAAACCCAAAGTCAACATAGGGGGTTTATCCAAATTAATAACAAGTGGTAAGAGTTAACGGCGCAATGAGAGTTGTCTGGAGGCTGCTCCAGCTGTGAGATACAGCATAAATCTTCTCAAGTTGTGACAAATGTCTTGGCTAATGCAGCCACATTCTATGTTTAGATCTCACTAAGATGTAATTTGACATTTGGGTTTACTTTCTTCATTATAATTAGGAAACGAACTCCAGTCCACGTTAATCTCTTCACAGCCTGAATTTGCACATGGAATTACTGCCCCCACTGCGCCAAGCCTTCCCCACACTCAACAGTCAAGTCAAAACCAGACATCCTTTCCAGTAGGGTTCTTTGGTTACAGAAACACAGTGAAAGCATAGGATGGATATTTCTAGGAGTTTAAAGGTTAAATCCTTGTCTCTTGTTCAAGGAAATCTCTGTGGAGAGGTAACACACCACACCCTGGTGTTGCGAGATAAGAACCCAAACAGAACAGCCCACAACTCCATTTTTGATGGATGGAGGAGGATATCTAAGGACAAGGAGGTGCCTCATCTGTCAACACACACCACCTTCGTCAGTAAAGTGCCTCTTGGATCTGTTTCCATATGGGCTGCATTCCCATGGCTCCCACTCCACACCTGGAAGGCCAGTTTAAGCCATTAGCATTTAAGTGCCATGAAGTGTTGCATTAATGCGCAGCCACAACCCCTGACACGCTGGATGAGCAGGCTGCCCTCAGCTGATGGGCACGATAGAGAGGAACAGCAACACACAGGCGGCACGAAGACCTGCGTGTCTTTGAAGGAATTCTCATAACCACATTCTGGAACAGGATAATCCAGGCAGTCCTGTACTGGTTGCTCCACAGCTCCTTTCACATGCACAGCATTTTGCAAGCACCCAAAATCTCTGTCTGCACCTCTACAGAGTGGCTCTGCTCTTGTGTCACATCCTGGTAACATCTACAGGTCAACACACAACTGGATGACCATATTCTGGCAGCTCTTGCTGCAGGTGACTGGGTTTCCCATCCCTGCAACAGCAGCTCCCAGCAGAGGTGGGCAGTAGGAAGCAGGTGAGCAGGCTGGAGGAGGACAAGGCTCCACTCAGACTGGGAGCAACAATGTACATTTTGCTTCTGAAGAAATGGAAAATATTATCTATTTGGTCTCGGGGTGCAACAAGAATCAAAGCAGGGGTTCATTTAAGAGGGATCAAGACAGCTGGCACCCGGAGCTGGAGAGGGTTGTCTCAGTACAGCTTTCCCAGGGCTCAAGAGTCAAGGTGGAGGAGCTGGCTGGTCATCCCAAGCAAAGGTTTCAACAGGTGATTGAAAAAGGGAGCAGAGGCTGTCACAGATTCATCGAATCATGGAATGGTTTGGATTGGAAGAGGCCTTAAAGTTCATCCAATCCCAACTCCCTGCCATTGGCAGATATCTTACACTAGACAATGCTGCTCCGAGCCATGTCCAACCTGGCCTTGAACACTTCCAGAGATGGGGCAGCCACAGGTTCTCTGGGCAAGTGAAAATTCAAACAGAAGAGGTTCAGTCAGGGGACGAGGAGGCTGGGGAAGCAGCCAGGTTTGAGCCCAGGCAGGCTGTGCCCTCTCCTCCCTTGGATACTCTCAGGTCCCAACCAGGTAACACCCCGAGCAACCTGCTTTGAGCAGGAGGTTGGACTAGAAACCTCATGAGCTCCCGTCCTACCTGAATTACGTGATGGATCTAAAATTCCAGTCTGGGACCTGGCTGTAATCCACAATGCAATCCTTTCCCTGAAATGCAGGGCAGCAGCCTCCCACACCTAGCCTCCTGATCTCTGAACCGCTGCATGTTCTAAAAGCAAGTGCTTGACTAAGCCCAGCACGTGGTTTCCAGCACTCTCCGAACAACCCCACGTATCCACACCTCACCTGGCTTCAATGAACATTTTCTGTGGTAAATAAGAACCTTTCCATGGATTTGGGGGGATTTGCTCAAACCAGTACCAGTCTGTGGCAGTGGGTTGTGCTGGGATCTGACACCCTGCTTGCCACATGGACTCCACTCCAACTGCCAGAGCCTGACTCGAGCCTGGAGCACAGACACCCAACTCCAAACCACACGAGCTGTCATGGAACAGCCTGGGCTGCTCTGGCTCTGTGCACGGCTTCTTTCCGTGTCCTGATATGCTTTTGGCCACGCCAAGGAATGAAGGTCACAGGCTGATGTCTTGGCTGCTCAGTGTTGCTGTGTGTGCCATGGGAGAGCCCCCATGCCGAGCCAGGACGGGCCACACCAGTACCTGCACCCTCCGAGGGACCCGCTTGGAACCGGCCAACTTTTCGAGCCAGCAGGAAGGTTTGAAAACGCATTCAGAAACAAAAACTAACAACCTGCAAAACTCCAGAATCCCTTCCAGAGGTGAGAAAGCCTTTGGCAGGGCAAGAGCAAACACGAGGAACAGGGGCCACGCTCCTCCGCTCACACGAAACGTGCAATTCTCTACCAGACTGAGAAACGGCTGCCAAGGAGTCGCAGGACTCAAAAAAGCCCTGGAAATCTACAGCACATTTCCTTCCACTGCTCTTTTTGCCATGTTTTCCTTTCAGCACGGCAGAGCAGCGTGTTTGTGCTGGCCAAGCCTACCCTCCTCCTCTCCACCGCACCTTCAAGCAATCCAAGCACAGGAGATACAGTATTACCTCAAATATTTAACCAAGGGATTAAACTATTCTCTTGGCAGGAGGCAGGAGCTGCCCCACAGATACAGCTCTCACACCGGCTGCCAGGCGCTGCGTGACAGCGGGATCCGCAGCAAACAATCTGCCCTGGGCTACCAGAAGCTCTCCACAATTTTCTCTGCTTTTGGGGTAATATTTCTGCTCACCGGTTCCCGGCCATCCATTGCCTCCATCCACAGCCTCCGGTCTTCTTCCGAAAGCGCCTGCATGGTGATGACGCCCGGCCTGCAGAGAGAAAGGGGACGCCGTAAATAAACTGCCGGATGGAAAGCAAAATAAAATAAAATAAGCAAAGATAAATTTCCCATGAGAAGAAGAGGGAAAGAGGACAAGCTTCTTTCTAGCCAAGTCCCAGAAAATGGGGCTGAGCCGAGCCTGACCTCTCCATGGACATCCCTGCAGGTCCTGACCAGGATCAGCCAGCAAGCAGAGGACATCTCCAATGACTGACACACCTTTCCAGTGGGTTTAGTGTAAGAGCTGGATGCCAAATTCCTCCTCTGGCCCTCAGCCTGCCCCAGGCTAAGCAGGTCCATCCAGCAACAGAAGAAGGCAAGGAAGGTAACCAAGGAAGGTAACCAAGCAAGCAGGAGCCCCACACATCCCAGCCCTCCATGTCCCACCACCACCCCATGCACCAGCTCATGGGGGGGACCTTCTGCTGTGAGAAGCATTACATCCCCAGAACGTTGGTGCCAGCACGGTTGTCCCAGTGCCCTGACCCTGCCCATACCCTGCTGTCACAGGCAGCAGTGGCAGCGAGGTGATCCTGGTCTGTGCACCCCTCCAGCAGCAGGGGAGCACTGCAGGAGCCCTGGTTGCCCCAGGGTGCTGGTCCTGCCCCTGCCATCACACACACACAACAGCCCTGAGCTGCCCTGTAAATCCAGCCTTCAGAAAATGATGGCTCATTTATTGTAATGAGAAGGGGAAAGGCCTGAGTGCTGCACACACAGCACAGGAGCCAGAGGACAGCACTGGTCCCGCCCTCGCCTGAGGGCCAACGCCACCTCCACGCTTCGGAGTGGACGCTACATCCTTTCCATGCAAGGAGTTAAACCTCAATTACGTGCTCTGATAAGCACAACCAGCAAGGTCAGGATGTATTTAACACTCTGGAGAGTGTTTGCACAACCTCAGTTATGGTGTGTGTTTGCACTGAAGCCAGTGCTGTGCTCCCACGTCGTGGGCTGGCGACTCACTGCACCTCGCTTGGCTGCAAGCTGTCAGGATTTCCATCTCCACATCCCAGCTCATCCCACAGCCAGCTGATCCCCACACACAGCCCCGCTACTGCTGTACCTCCTCAGCATCATGTCTTTGAACTGGGTCTCCAGCTCCTAAGGGGTGGCTGCATCCCGTGCCACTGCTGCTCCCCCCAGTAGGGCTGGGCAGAGCCCCCAGGCTCAGCCAGACAGTGAGATCTGTTCTGGGTGTCTGCTCCAGCCCTGCTGCTTCCTCACGGGCTATTTTCAGACGCATTAGCAGAGCACAGCAGCTATTCCTGCTGGAGGAGAGCAGGCAGAATCCCTGGCAACGGGGAGACACAGGCACGGCCCGAGCGTCGCGTGGCTCAGCAGGCTCGGGGGGGCTGCTGGTGCTTCTCTGCTCCTGGGGTTTCATCCATGGGAACTATGACACACCTCTGACACTGCTCTTCCCACTCACGGCAAAATACAAGGCTCCAGAATGGCAGACGAGTCAGGATCACTGCTCTGGGATACCAGGATGCCAGGGCACAAGGTGGGAAGAGTGATTAAACCTTGGAAGCTGCCAACCGCCTGCGGAGAGCAGGAGTGTTCCACAGAGTGTTCCACAGAGCACGTAGGTTCTGTTCAGAACTAAATCCTCAAAAACTGATAAAGCCTGGGAAGAGGGGTGATTTGCAACTTGCACTTCCCAAGGGTGATTCAGGAGGAGAACGTGAGCAGCACCAACAGTCTGCAGAAGCCCTTTGGTCCTTGATAAGAGCCAGTCCTCTGTTAGAAGAGTAAACAACAACGGGGGCTTTCAAGTGGTGGGTTTGGCCCGTCTTCTATTGCTTTGTGGCACGTACAGGCAAGGAACAGAGGATTAAACCCTCTCCCTGACTCAGCTCCCCATCCAACCCACCTAGCCATTGGCTTTCAGCATGTGCAGCAGCTCAGCATTGTCCCACCAGTGGATGCCGTGTGCTCAGCCTTGCACCAAGCCCGGGTCCAAGAAAACCAGACATAATGTGCTTGATCTCTGTTAATCCCATTGGTGAGTCAGTCAATACTCACCAGCTTAGTGGTTTGGAAGTTTACTCACTTTGAAGGGAAGAGGAAACCACTTAACCATTGCCCCATCTGACAGGGAAAATGCTCCACATCCAACAGTAAATATGTTCAAAATACGGCACAAAGCTCCTTGTTGTGTAGGTACAAAGCAACTGGTACCTGGGGAGTTGAATGGTCACTTAAGCCAGGGCTTAAGTCTGAGTTTAAGCCAAACTGCTGCTGAAGGCACAGATATCCCAGGCAGAAAGCCCTGGAAGGGCTCTTGCTCAGCTAGGGAGACACAGGAAAATAAAATATTGGGATTTATGTCTCTTTAGCCAAGACATTAAAACAAAGAATTTTAAACCCTCCATTTAGGGTACACCAGAGCAGAGTACCAGCAGCGTTTGGTCCTGGTGTGGCAGTGCTGGTATCTGACGTGCCAGGTTCCCTCAGAGCAGGGCAGAGGTGATAACACGAAAATGTTTGTTCTGAGTCTGAGCAGATAACAAACAACTCCTCTGGCTTCACTTCAAAGTCAAACTTCTTTACCAGCACGAGGGGAGGGGCCGCAAAATTGAATTAAGCCAAATTTCCCTTGCAAATAGCTCTGCATTTCCTCCCCCAGTGTTTATTTGCCAGGGCACCCATTGCATCACTTTCCTGAGCAGAACCATCTTCCTGGCTGCGATAAATTTAAAATGCACCCACACATTACACCTCATTCATAATTGATGTGGCCCATGCCCACGGAGTACCCTGTGCTTACAGCCAGGTCTGATGGCTGGCGCTGGATCAGCCTCCTGCCAACACTGTCAGCATCAGCCCGCCTTGAAATACTGCCTGCAGTCAGCCTCATCCTCATGGAGTCTCCTGGAAGATCAACTACTTCCCAAAGTGTGTTTGTTAGATTAGGGATATCTCAGCTATCCAGCGATGGGGAAGATATCCTGTTGTGACTTTTCCAAAAAATAAACAAAATGGATCTGTCCTTGTCCCCCCCCAACAAATCACCCTGAATACTGGGGGTCATTTATACAGATAATTATTTATACAGGTAATACACAGCAAATACACATTCTGCTGCGGGGCAGCTCCCATCCTCTCCCAAAACCTTATGTGGGATGTACCCAGATCCACACGGAGGAGCCTGCCAATCCCAGCCAGCCCACAACAGTGGCATCGGGACAGCAGGATGCCCTCTTGGATCTGTCATCCAAGATGCACAAACAGGAGTTCTTGTGTCAAACAAGATCAAGGACCTGTTCATTCATTCCTGATCTGCATCCTGCATTTCCACCTCCAGGCACCAAACCCCTTTGCCTTCTTCTGGGATGCAAGGTGGAGATTTGGAATCAGAAGGAACCCATTTCTAAATGGAGTGGGTGCAGGAGGGTGAGACCACAGCAGAACATGGCAAACACTTCACAAGAAAGTATATTTTCAATATGCTACAATCTAAAAATGGAAGATTTTTCCATGTGAGACCACACAGGAAATTTGAATTTTCTCAATATCTCAGCTTTTGTGACAAACAGCCTGGCCTTAAGGAGCTGTGACTAAGCATGCCGAGAAAATGAGAAAGTCCAATAGCTTTTCCTTCTTCCAGAAAAACAAATAAATAAGGAAAGCAATAGAAACAGATAAGAACTTCCAACTCTTATAGTAGCTTATCACAGTGAGACAATCTAAACTGCTGGATGAAAACGTGTAAGAGCGGATTAATAAGAGGGGCTGAGGGCTGAGCAGAGCCGAACGTGCAGAGATCTTCACAGTCCCAATCTGAGCAGAGCAAGGACCCCAGACAAGTCCCCACAGCCACGGGTCAGGGCAGCAGATGTGGACCCAAAACACAGATGAGGAAAGATGGAAATAAGGGGAAGACTGTGTTCCTGAATTCAGAAAGTCTCAGTGTCCGCGTAGAGCTTAAAGCACCATCAGTACAACAACCACCAGCACGTTCTGTGGGTCCCTGTGGCCGCTGACAAGGAAAGGAGCCTCATCCCTCATCACCAGCCTGCCTGTGACAACCCCCCAACGCTTTGTTTTAAAGGTCACTGGAAAGGCGACACTGGCAGAGGAACAAGCACAAGTTGAACTGCACGTGCTGTCCAGAGCACCGGCGAGAGCTGCGGACACCAGCAGAGGTGGGGTCCCTGCCAGCCTCCCAGTCTCAGCACAGGGAAGAGGGGAGAAGGTCCTGCCACGGTCAGGGTGGCTCTCAGGGACATGCAGACCTGTCAGGTGCTTACCCAGAGCAAGGCCAACAGTCTTCCTAGGGAAAACCATCTGGTCAGGGGAATGCTTGGCAGGTGCCTGGCAGCTCACTCACCCCAAGGCAACCACGTAGCCATTGCCATGCCAATTCTTCTCTCAGGAACAGTTTCTCTGTGGAAAGGGTTGTCAAACATTGGAACGGGCTGCCCAGGGAGGTGGTGGAGTCACCACCACTGGAGATGTTCAAGGAACAACTGGACATGGCACTCAGTGCTCTCTGGTCTGGTTGACAAGGTAGGGATTGGTCACAGGCTGGACTCAATGATTTTGGAGGTCTTTTCCAACTTCAGTGATTCTGGGATTCTATTCTACAATCAGACTGCCCACAGAACACAGTGCCAAGACCCCTCAGGAACAGCCCAGGGGAACGGTGGTACCTGCAGAGCTCACTGCCTTCATGAATGACCAGGAGACCAAATTCCCCATTTTGAAAACCTCCTGCTCCCATAAAAGCCAACTGGCACGTAGAAGCACTTCGCTTCTGGCCCAGAGCAGTGACCTACATTATCCTAAATGACAAAGCTTTTGTCATCAGTCAAATGAGATACTCCTCCTCCTCAGGCTCATTTTGTAAGACACTGGCTGTCATCCCTGTTTACTTTGTTTACAAACCTGATTTAATAGGCAGAGACTGCAAATAAGTTTAGTTAATGAAAAAAGAGCATTAAGAGTAAAACACAGTATCCATCACACTGGGGGTGTATTTCAGCCAGACACTAGAACACCATTCTGGGGCTAATTTTGCTGTAACAAAGCAATAAAAAACTTGCTACAGTGAACAACAGAACTATTTGCCAATGCCGAGGCCAGGCTGGATGGGGCTTGGAGTAACCTGGTCTAATGGGAGGTGACCCTGCCCATGGCAGGGGGGTGGAATAAGTTGGGCTTTAAGGTCCCTTCCAACCCAAACCATTCTGGGATTCTGTAATTCTGTGACAAGGAAGCAATGCTGTAATAACAGATTAGACTCCAGTTTTTCATCTCAACAATGCTGAATCATCTTTACAGGAGAAAAAAAACCACATTTTTTCCCCCCTAACAAGCTTAGCTGTTGCTATTTAGGGTGTTATTTATAAACTCCCGCCCTGCACCCCATGCCTGAGTACCAGCTTCCCAAAATGCAACACTGACAACAAGCTCGTTTCTGTGCGATGCCTTTTTCGAGAAGGACCAGCCGAGGCTGCCACCTCCAGGCTGTACAGAGATCCAGGAGCTCCAGCTCCCGGCCCGTGTGCCCGTGTCAGCACAGCACCGGGATCGCACTGTGTCCCACAGCACCCTGCAAGTCAGCACGGACAGTCAGTAAGACACACACAACCTCGGACACAACCTGCCAGGCCAAAACGAAACAAACTGGAACTAAGCCAGTCCACGCACAGAGAGCTTAAAACACGACTGAATAGGCTTTAGGAGGGTCTGGGAAGGAAATGGACTTCACGTTGTCCCCACAGCAACAAGTGAGATGAGTAACTGAGTCACACCTGCAAAAGGGGAGAAGTGCTGTAAGTCAAACCCAGTGCATATGGGAGACAGAGAAGCATCTTGGGCATGTTTGCCTTCATTGTATCCAGATTTCCTGCATGGGGTTGAGGAACAAGACATCAACTTTCTAAGTTCTCTAATAGTAGAGACAATAATAAACCACCAAAAAAAGCAGCAAACTATCCCAAAAAAAACCAGCTTGAGGGAAAAAAGCCCACAGATCAGCCTTCTGCGTTCTGCGAACACAGGCACAGCTCCAGCCAGTCCTTGGGCAAAGATACTCCATCATTCGTGGTCCCACACTTGGGTGGAGAGTGTGAGCTGAAGTTTTTGCCTCTGCTCGGGTCCTTATGCTGGAGATGATCTCCTCCAGCACGAAATGGAAAGTGATGCTTCCAGAGAGGAAAACTCCCTGCTGTCTGAGCCTGGCTGCCCTCTGGAGCAGTGGGATGGCTCTCCCAGGTGAGCCCCAGCAGCTCCAGCTGCAAACAGACCCCTCTGCACCTTGAGCTCCAGGTCCCCCATGTCCCCAGAGCCTCACAGTGAAGCCAGGCCAGGCCTGGTAGGGTGGCTGCACGGTGGCACCCACACACTGCCAAGCCCCAATAACCCTAAACTGGCAAGGAAACCATTCCTTGACACACAGGGCTCTGTAAAACAGGCCAAACCCTGAGTGCCAGGCAAGGTGAAGGTGATCTCCAGCAAACCCTGGCACTGACAGCATCACCCAATGCTCTGATGGTACCCAGATCCACCCCAGGAAGGGGGAGACAGGTTGCCCACATCACACTCTCTTTTAGACATGACAAAACCTGTTGTTTCCTCTTCTTCTTAGTTTATCTTGGGAATAATCAATATTTTAGATAACTAATTAAAAATTCTGATAACCAAAGTATGCAGAGCTACCTGTACACTGGGGAGAAACAGCCTTTTCTTTCAGGCATCCTGCTCCCCTGCCCTCTTGGACAGGAGCACATTCCTGCAGCAGGAACTTGTACATGAAAGGAGCTATTCCTCAGGTGCCACTCCCCTGCCATGATTACATGGAGCAGGCGGATTTCTGGAGAAGCTCCTGATCCCATGCCTGGCAGGCTCCAAACATCAAGGGAAGGCTCATTTGCCTCTGAACATGCTACAGAAGAAAACTATTGTGGCAGTTCTATTCTTCTCCTCCCACTTTTAGTTTGATTTTCACATTATAAAAAAATATCCTCAGGGCAAAGGAAAAAAAAAAAATCCCTGTGTCAGCTGAAATACTGCAGCTTTCTGGAGGAAAGCACAGCTCCAGAGAGTGGGAGGCAGCCCCGGGTTATCTTATCCCTCAGCCAACACAGGCACAGCTCCATCACCCCAACCCCTCCCTGCCATGGGCTGGCACCGAAATGCTGCCGAAGCACAGGCTGGAAAGACACCGTGGGTTTTTCCAGCATTATTCAACACCTCGGATTTCCATGGGCTGGGGTTTTTCCAAGACCTCCTGGGCATTCCTGCAGAGGGGAGGACAGCTGGACCACTGACAGGCAGAAAACTGGGAGGACACAGACACTGAGTGGCTTTGGAGTGGGCTTTTGTGAACTATGTGAACTTCCTGCAGCGAGGGAGATCCAAGGCAGTGACTAATTCCGTTTGGAATACAAACGCCAGCCTGGCTTTCCTGTTTATATACATAACCCATGCACAATGCTAATAGATATGGTAACAGGCTCCCATTCCTAGGTGCTGTAGAATGAATCCACACATATCTCTGGTTCAGCTGCTACGTGAGAATTCACAGCAGCAGCATTTTACTCCTTCAGGAAAAAGAAGTGAATCGAAAGTGCCCAGAGGCACGAGCCAGACATCCATTATCTGGTGGACCAGCAACAGCCGTGCTCCAGCACAAAAGCTGACCAACACATACCCAGAGCTGGAAAGAGGCATCACATCCCTGCCAAAACACTCACAGAGCATCTTTTCCAGACTGACAAGCATTTCCCTTCTGTGGCCAGAGCCTTGCAGAAGTGCTAAAGCAACATAAAAATCAGAGAGACTTGAGTAAACTCGGCACCTTGTAAACTTAAGCACCAACTCAATATACGGAGAGCACCTGGCTGAGAGAGAGGTGTGATTCCATGGATTAATGCTTTCCATTCACAGAGGATATGACTAAAGGAGAAGAGAGACGTGGGAACTGCACAGGAAAGCCAAGTGCAGATGAGCACAGCCCCTCCCTACACACGGTCACCGTAACCCCGGGGGTGTCCCCTCGGCACTCACCGATCCACAGCTTCCACATCAAAGCAAAACCTCTTCTCGATCGAGTCTGTTTTCCGCCGTGTGCAGGATTTCAGGGTAACAGCTTCATCTTCTCCCTGAGAAGAGACAAAATCGCAGGTGAGGCCAAGAACACCTGCCTGTCCCCAGCACCCACCGCTGTCAATGAACAGGTTCAAACCGGGGGGATTTGGGAACATCACCCTGTTAGAAATATCTGTTTATACCTCTGACATAAGGAGTAGTCTTTTCACTCTTGTTTGGTCCAAAACCTTTCAGGAGGAGCCTTCCCTTCAGGATGCCCTCAACCAAATCTGTGCATTAAGCATCACACAGCCCATGCTTCAGGCAAGCAGGGAGTGCTGAACCACAACTTCTGGGCAAAGTCAGCTTTATTTTCCATTGCTGAATGACACACCATAGACCTGGCTGTCAGTTTTCACTCCAGGCTGCATTTTTGGCAGCATTCTGCACACAAGGACTCTTAACAGGAGCAAACATGCCTTAAAATGTTTATTATATAACAAAGCAACGACAAAATCATTCTCTCATCCAGAGAATGCCTCTCTGTGTCCAAGTTGTACTGGATTTCCACAGGCTGAGCAGCAATCCTGCAGGATCCATGTGCACTGCTGTCCTCTGCTGGAGGAAATCCTGGCTCAGCCCCTGCCAGCACAGACATTTCTCCTGCAACTGTTAAATTCCACTGATGATTCAAGAGAAAATGAATTCTAAAGGAGTTCCTGGAGACGGACACTTTTCTGTGTTCTCTGTGCTGTTCCTGATGACACCTTGGCTGACCACCCTGTTCCCTGACATCCTCATTTTTCTAGGAAATATATTTATAATCACAGAATCGTTTAAGTTGGAAAAGACCACTAAGATCACTGAGTTCAACTGTTCCTCCAGAACAGTCAAGCCCTCCAGTAACCCATGTCCACACATGGCATGTCTCCGTGATGGCAACTATGCCACAGTTTTCCTGCTGGCTTCTAGCACCTCCTGTTCCTTGCCCATGTTGCAGGACACACCACGTTTTGGGGGAAGAAGCCCTAACTCCTATGTGACCGTTCTCACGTGCTTCTGTGGTTTCTAACATATGAATAAGCCTCATGTCCCAGACAAGGAACCCAGAACAAACCCAGCTCACAGACCTGAGAGCTCTGTGCAGTGCATCTCCCCAGGGTTCAGCAGAGGCCACCTGCCCCTGGTCCTCCCAGCCTGGCCTGCTGCCAGCACCAGGTTGCTCCCACGTTGCCCAGCTCCCTGTCCAGTATTCAGGGAATGCCCCCGCTTCTATCCCACTAATATCCAGCTCCAGCCACAGCTCAAGGCACAGTCATGAGCGGCTGATACCACGTGCAGTGTCCTGTGTGACCCATGAGCCATGGGTCTCCTCCTGCAGCACCTTGGCGCCTGCTCCAGCCAGATCCTGAAATTCCCTGCAGCACAGCCCCCAAGCCCCTGGGCTGCTCCACACTTGGATGCTCATGCCAGTCATCACTAACAGACCCTGCGGCCCATCCAGAGCTGCCCTGGCACAGGCAGTGTTCCATGCCAGGGTGGCACAAGTCACAAGTCCTGGGTGAGCAGCCNCCTGGCACAGCACTGGAGTGGGGCTCCTGCAAGGTGTGAGACAGGCTAAGGGTGCCGCCCGCAGCGCCTGTGCCCCAGGTGCAGGGGGAGCCCTGAAATGGGAAGAGCCCAGATGAAACACTGTGCAGCCGCTGACGATTACAGGGCTGGGATATGTTAATGCTGAGCTCTAATGAAGATGCTCCAAGGCAAGAGGAAATTAATTTTAGAGGCTGCCCTCCCCCCAGCAGGAAGCCATGCGGGAGCCTGTCCAGCTCCCGAGGCGCTCCCTGGCAAGGGGATTGCGTTTGCAAACCGTCCCAGCTGGGAATACTCTGGAGGAGTCTATTGTTCCTGCAGCATAGAGGAGCAAAGCCAGTCCTGGATACAGCCCCAGGAGCAGTGGGCACACGGTGTTTGCTGGTCCCCCAGCTCCTCACATTCCCTCAGGGCTGAAGGGAGCTCCAGACTCTCCTGTGGCTCTGTCCAAAACAAAACAACTTCATTGGCCAAGTCATAGGATCATCAAAGAATCACAGAATGGTTTGGGTGGGAAGGGAACTTAAGAGTTCATCTCATTCCAATCCCCTGCCATGGGCAGAGACATGTTCCACTAGGCCAGGTTGTTCAGAGCTCTATCCAACCTGGACTTGAATAAGTTACAGGCACTGGGGAAGGAGCAAAATAATGAAGAGGTTCTCTTGTCCAGGTCTTAGAGAAGGAATGTGGGACTGAGAAGCAGGCACTCATGGTGCTGTAGTGTGGTGGTTTCACATGGCAAACAAAGATCTCTGAGCTTTGGGGGGGCTTTCTGTCTTTTTTCTTTCTCAAACAAGGTGACAAGGTAATTCCCTATGTGGCACCTGTTCAGTCTGGAATGAATATGCCCCACTTCACTGCATTGTGTCAATTTGCTATAAAGGTGACAGAGTCTGGCTCCCAGGAGAGCCTGCAGCCAGCAGTGCTGTGTGTTTCCCAGCAGAGCCTCGGGACACCATCCTGCTCCATGCCAGCACTCACCCCTTTTCCTCCTGATTTCTGGTCAAACGGTACCATCGTGATCCGCTTCGATTCCCTCTGGTATGTGCAGTAATGCTTCACCCAGGAAGTCCCAAAGTGACCTACAGAGCAAATGTAGGTTTTATTCCCAGAACCAGTGCCCTCCCATTAACAACCTGCTATGCTTAATGATCATTTAACATAACACATTCCTGTACCTACAGTTTCCAGTTGGATTAAGTGTTATTACCCTCCTTCTAGTCAGGGGAAAGACTTTTATGAGGCACTGGCAGTAATTCTCCCTACCAGAGAGAACCCGGCTCCCACATTCCCACCTCAATATCCCACCCATTGGGCCAATCCCTTTCTTTCAGGGATTGTGTACCTGCTGAACCAGCCTTTGTGTCCTACACCCTGACAAACCCCTTCCCCAGACTCCCACCCACCGCATTCCCCATCAGGCAGCTCCGCCACCCCAACACCTACGCTTCTCCTGCACGTAGAGATAACCCTCCATCGTGTAAGGGCTGATGTTTTTGTGCTCGTGAGGATTCTCCTTCATCTTCTTCATCAAAGCTTCAACCTCTGATCTTGTTCCTTCAAAACGGTTTCTTGTCTGCAAATTAAAACAGGAATGTCTTCTCCAGTGCATGGACCCACAGAGGGCTCTGCAGCACAGAAGCACCATAAGGGGTGGGACTTCAGCTGGGTCCTTACAGCCATGTGGGAAATGGGACAGGGGAGCCCACTGACAACAACAGGACAGGCTTGCTTCCTGGGCCTGGATTTAAGCTAAGGGAAAAATATTATCATAACTGGCAAGGGCATCCAGTACTTAAAGTGGGCTTACAAAAAAGAGGGAGATTGACCTTTTACATGAGGAAATAGTGATAGGACAAGGAGGAATGAATTTAAACTAAAAGAGGAGAGATTTAGATTAGATGTTAAAAAGAAATTCTTCCCTGTGAGGGTGGTGAGGCCTTAGCACAGGTTGCCCAGAGAAGCTGTGGTTGCCCCATCCCTGGAAGTGTTCAAGGCCAGGTTGGACAGGGCCTGGAGCAACCTGGTCTAGCGGAACCATGGCAGGGGGTTGGGACTAGACAAGCTTTAAGGTCCCTTCCAACCCAAACCATTCTGTGGTTCTATGACTAAAATACACCAAAAGGTGAGTTAGCTTGGCTGGACAGTGACAGCAACAGGCACACTCACGTTCTGGATGCTGATTGTCAGCTCTGTCTTGAAATCGCTGAAGTCCTTTGCAAGCTCGTAGCCGTGGTGGTAGAACGTGAAAAGCCCCTGCAGAAATGCCAGCAGCTGTGTCGGGGCAAAACGAATGGAGATGGTCAGTTGAGACCCACAGCTGCCCCCAGAGCCGCTGCTGCTGAGGGGAAGGGGCCCTGAAGCCCCCCGGACTCACTGGTCGGCCCTGGGGAGATGCCCTGCTCCTCATTTCACCTTCACACCTCCCCAAATGGACCCCAAAGCGAGGCTGTGTTTCCTTCCCCCAGAGCCAAGGCAAGACCCCATCCCAGGACCCCACACACCTCTGTCCCCCTTTCTGCATTACCCAGGCCCTGGAGTCACCAGGAGCAGAGCCAGGAGGGGTCAGGCACAGCATGCTGCACCTCTTCCAACTCTGAGTTACTTTTGGATCAGCAGGAATCACCTTTGCAAAGAACTGGAAGGTCTGGCCCCTCCCAGAGCAGCTTTAAAGGATTTAACGCCTGGGCAAAGGTACATCTTGGAAAACACTTTTTTCCTTACTTCTGTCACTTCTGCACTCTTCTTTCCTTGTGAATGTTAATTATAATTTGGGGTTTTTTCCCAATCAAAAGTGTTTTTCTTTTAATTGCTCAGGTCCCTCAGCCTAGCCCACCCCAATAACTGTCCCCACAGTTAAAAAATTAAATGTTGAAATGCTTCCAGCACACACATGGTCACTAAGCCAATGGCTCTGTGCCCCAAGGCTCCCACAGTGTTTTCCCCTTCAAACCTCCCTCTTTAAGAGGGGTTGTGGGGGTGAGGCTGGAGGGCCCCAGCTTCCCCACTGCAGGACAACCCACACCACAGCCCAGCTCCCCATGACTCCCCATTCCACCACACAATCCCCTGGTTTTTGCAGGCTGAGGGAGCTTAAGCGTTCACTTACAGGTTCCACAAACTCAAACATCTTCCTCTCCTGGACCTCTTGCACCTTGAAGACGTACTCTAGAGAGACTTCGTAGAAATGCTGGCGAACCTGGTCCACCTGGCTGTCTGCCTGCAGATGGATTGGAGAGGAAACTCGAGCTCAGTACTGAATGGAAACACTTGGCCTTCTGACCAGAGCACACCTGGGTCTGATGGCAACATGGCCATGCAGGACAAATTCAGTTTCAGCCCCCAGTCATGGACTGGACAGATGGCACAGTGATAAATATAAACCTGATTCACATTGAACACGCTTCACATGAATCTTCCTTCAGCCAATAAAAATGTTTTTATGACTCATGTTCTCACCTCCCCGACAGCTGTGCAGAAAACACGCAGGAGAGGCGAGGAAAACGGGAAATCACTGCATACTTGACAAGAAAAGGCAATCCTCCTCTCTCTGGAAAGCACCATGATGGGATCTGCCAGAGCATCCCAGGGCAAAGACAGGTGGCACATACACCCACCACCAGCATGTCACTTTGGTGGATCAGCAGACAGCAAATCCCCTCTGCTTTGAAAGCCCAAATGAGCAAAAATAGGGACATGCCCCAATCCCAATGCCTAAAAATAACCCAGTCACGCACACAGAGTGGAGCCGCTGCACCAAAAGCAATGTGAGGGACACAAGCATCCCTGGAATGTGTCACAGAATCCCAGAATGGTTTAGGTTGGAAGGGACCTTAAAGATCATCTTGTTCCAAGCCCCTTCTATGGGCAGGGACACCTTCCATCAGACCAGGTTGCTGAGGTGACATTTTGCAAGTGACACTTTGCATAGAGCAACCGAGAGTGTCACTGGGGTTTTGCCCTTACAAAATCCAGCTGGCAAACACCCTCCTGGATGTGAAAAGCAGCTCGTTCCTGCTTCTCTGAGTGACACGTCCATGAAATGTCTCGTTTCCCCTCGTTGAACTGCCACCAGCTTTTGTGCTCACGGTGTGCAGGCTGAGGGAGTCAGCAACCTGAGTTCTGAAAAGCAGAAAACATGATGCAATCGTGTAAGTCTGCCAGGAGTAAAATGGCAAATTAGACTCTGCATGTTGTTTAACTGGTCAACAGCCAAAGCAGCAGAGAATTCCCATGGTCTCCTCCTCTTCCCGCCTCATCACAGCAGTTGCACATGTGGCTGCTATCACCCTCCAGATGTGGACAGCTAGAGGTTAGGAAACAGAAACCACCAAATCTCCTGCATACAAGCACTCTTGTCTCAGGAAATTGGGGAGTCCAGTGGAGCTCCAGACTGTCAGAAATGAGTGGTGTTAATTCCCAGAAATGCTGCACCCACCAGCACCTTTCCTGTGCACACACCTGCAGCCCCCCATCCTGAGAGCCCCACAGCCAGCAGGGATGGTGATGGGCAGCCCCCAGGGAGGTGCCAGATGGAGTCAGTGCTCCACCACGTCATGAATGCCACATCCACATTTCACAGCCCTCATGCTGGACACTCTTTCAAAGGCACTCCCCCTTGGTGGGGCCTGAGCCATCAAAACCATGTACACTTCCCAGTGCCTCGGGGAAGCAGGCCCCAGCACCCCAACAGGGAGTTGGTTCCAGCGGGCTCCAGCCTCCTCCTGCCTTCCCAGAAACAGCCCAAGTCAGTGTCTGGGGTGGGAGATGCCACCAGATGGCACCAGCAGCCAGCCCTGCTCCAATGCACCTGCACAGCATCCCACGCACAGCCACTGCCTACAGCCTGCCTGCATCCCGCACACAGCCACTGCCTACAGCCCGCACACAGCCACTGCCTACACCCTGCACACATCCCGCACACAGCCACTGCCTACACCCTGCACACACCCCGCACACAGCCACTGCCTACACCCTGCACACATCCCACACACAGCCACTGCCTGCATCCCGCACACAGCCACTGCCTGCATCCCGCACACAGCCACTGCCTGCATCCCGCACACAGCCACTGCCTACAGCCTACGCATCCCACACACAGCCTCCACCTACATCCCGCCTGCATCCCATACTGCATCTCCAGGCAGCCTCGCAGGGCCATGCTCTGTCCAGGGCACAGGATCACACCTCTAAAAGCAACCGTTGTACAGTCATGACAGCCATGAGTGGATCCTTCCCTTGCTGGACAGAAGGCCTTCCACTCCCATGCCCATCAGTATCTCAAACATGAACTAAACCAGGGGTTCAGAGGGTCATTTAAAAACCATCATCCCCTGGGACACAGGGGTGCTTCCATATGGGAAGTTATTTACAAGCAAAGAGGACAAAGCCGGCTTACAGGCGTATCTGCCTGGATTCTGACCCCTCCTCAGCCCTGATTTGGTGAAAGATTACCTATGCCAGAGGTATTTCTGCTCTCAAGTTCCCACCTCTGCTGGGCATTGTCCCATCACCTGTGTTGTCCTGGTGCAGGAGCCTTGTGCCCACGAGTGCCCCCAGTAAGGGATCAGGAGCACACCAGTACCATGTCCAAAGGCAAGGACACGCATACTGAGGGGACCAACTGCAGCACAGGGAATTTCAAACTTTGTTAGAAGTGACTGAAAACTCAGTGTAGTCATCCAGTAAGAGCATTTGGCACCGCAGCAAACCACGTCCTGAGTCAGGGATGGCTCCTAAAGCAGTTTAAGGCACTAAGCCTGATCCCTCCTCCCCTGGAGCCCAAAGCAGCACAGCCACTCGCAGAGAAGGAGATCAGACATCCCTGATTTGTGCTGGCACATGGGAAGCCTGCAGCAGAACCAGTTCCCCTCTGTTACACTCTTTAATTATAAACCCTCTCTCCTTTTTGATTGCTATCCATTTTGGGATCTCTCTGATTTACTCACCAAAACAGCTCCATTCCCTTTCATTAAGGAAGAGGGGAAAACCCAGCACTCGCAGCCAGAATGATGGAAAAAATGAGTTTACAGTCAGGAGAACCATTGTTATAAGCTGGGTAAGGCATTCAAAAAGCTCTCCACAGTGACAGCCAGACATGGAAACACGGAGGTTGCTCTCACCTCCTGAAGCTGGGATTCTTTCTTCTTAGAAGACAAGTTCAAATGCTTTTCTAGGACACCACAATACTTCTCAGTCTCCTTGTCATATTTCTTTTTGGCGTCCTACAAAACAGAACAAAATGTGTGACGCTGAACACAACGGCACCAGATTAGCCATGAGGACCCACAGCATCCCTGCAGCACATGGCAGGACAGCACATCCCAGGTGGGAGTTAACACGAGACAGGACCATGGCCTGGGGGCATCAGCTGGAAGCAGGTGAAGCTGCTTTTATCTGTCAGCATCAGGCAGCTACAAGAAAGCAGCTTATGCTTCCAAAATCCGAGGGTTGGGGGAACCCCTCCTCTACTCCTGGGGCCCAACGCTTGGTAAAACACACAGACCAGGCCTGGTCCAAAGACAACAGTGAGGAAAGTGCTTTTGAACCAGAATATTACCACAATTTCATATCCCACCCCTGTCAATCCTTGCAAGACTTTCTCCTTCATGTCACTCAGGACTATGACACAGTATGGCTGTTTATGGCAGGAGTATTAAAAAAGGATGTCAACTTCACTTTCTTTTGTACCCCCATCCCAACCAGGCAATCCCAACACACCAGTACCAAATCCATGCTGGCACCTGCTCATAACCAACTCCCTTCTGGAGGACTCCTCTTTGTCTTTTGTTTTCAGTTGCATGAAGCAGGGCAGCACTGCTGGGCTGGGCACCCCGCTGCCATGCAAACGCGGCCCCAGGCGCTGGCATGAGCTTCTTGCAGGCAGCAGCAGGTTGTTATAACAACAGGGGAGCCACAGACAGTGGTTTTCATTTCAGAACAAAGGCAGGAAAGAAAGTGGGGGGGTCAGACTGTCTCACAGCCACTCTCAGCCACACTGGCGCTTCCCTGTCCTGCCAGAAGCCGTCTGAGTTCCCGTGCGACACACCGGGGTGGGGAGTGCAGACCAGGGGGTTTGGGTGATTGGGAACCCCTCCAAGAAAATCCTAATTCTTGCTTGGAGTAAGGAAAAAGTTCACTTCAACTGGAATATGATTTCTGGCCCTTGGCATGTTATTTGGTTGTGGGTGAACTCAGAACACTGAGGTTCTTCCCGGGAGCTGGTTCATCCCCGTGTCCCTCCCACAGCAGCACATCACCTCCTCCCTGCAGTGTGCCAGGTCCTGGCCACCTCTGTGGCTATCACTGTGCAGCTCTGGGCTCTGCTCCTCTGCCTGAGCTGGGGCTCCCAGAGGGGACAAGTGGGTCGGTTACCTTGGCAGCCCCAATCTGCTCCTTGCGGAACTTCTCCAGCGGCGTGATCAGCACCTCACTGGCATTCTCGATCTGTGGGCAAAGACAGACACAGCTCTGTTGACCTGTGCTGCTCAACAGCCTTTCCACAAAAACCCTCCCACAGCCCATGGACACCCACAGGCCTCACCCCTCCGGCTCCGCACTGGCTGAGGGGCTTGTACCAAACCTGTGAGCCCCCCCAGCACCAGCACTGGCCATTTTCCAACAGCGAGACTCCATTTCTGATGCTTTTCAAGTGTTCTCCTGCCAAGGCCACCCTCCCCTCCCTCTGCTTCCCCTGTGGCTCCACTAAGGGTAAGGGAAGGAGCATTGGGGTGGCAGCCACTGTCACGTCAGTGCCCGGGGTGCCACAGTAGAGCTGTGGGCAGCAGCAGTGCCACGACCCCCTGCTCCCAGGGACAGATGGGGCCGTACCATGCGCATCCGCTCGTCCTCCAGGTTCCGCAGCACCGTGGCAAACTCCTGCAGAGACTTGGCTGGAAGGGACACAGTCAGCATTTAACATTCAATTTTTAAAGAAAGAGAGAAACTGAACAGGGGGTTTTTGTCTGTCTGTGTTTTGGGGGTTGTTGGTTTGGGGTTTTTTTTATCCTCTTTGCTCTCTCCCTAAAAAGGTTCCAGCTGCCTATGGAATCAACTGGCAGCAGAGCAACCCCAGGACCAGGTTCTCACCTCCAGAGAGCAACACCCTCACCTCAAACCTGCCCTAGCCAACAGCTGGTCACTGACCAGCCCAATAGTGCAGCACTGGGCTCAGCTACGCCCAGGGCACAAGGGGCAGCTCACCAACACAGGGACCTGGAGCCAGTGAGGAGCTATTTCTGTTGAGACTGGGCACAAATAAACAAGTGAAGTTAAATCAGGGCTAAAGCTCCTTTGCTCTCCTGGCTCCAGACGATGTGCACAATAAGCTCTAAAAGTCCAGCTGGGGTAAGAGCAGGATAATGGGGAGGGAAGCAGCTGAAGCTGTTGCCCTGTGCCAGGAGAAGCTCTGTGGTGGAGCAAGGCCCAGTTCAGGGAGCACTGCCAGGCTCAGCACTGCTGGTTCCCACCAGCACAGGGCCCTGTGCTCCTGCAGCCAGCAGTGAGACTGCTGCTCCTCTGCTTCAGGTCACAGCCCCTTGCAGTATATCGAGCCACAACCACATCCAGATCCTGCTCTCCAATGCAAAACACCCAGATAACCAAGACGGTTTCAGATACAGGCAATCTTCTCTGTTTCTTATCTGGCAGTGACAGATTTAGGCCAAAAAGCAACAAGTGATTCCCTGGAAAAGGCTTTGCTGATGTTGAACCAGGAGGAATATGCCCTTTTCAGAGAACAGGAAAGCGTCGAAACTCCTGGACCCCTTGGTGTCCTCACATGTGTTTCCCCCGCTGTGCCCTGCTCAGGGATCTGGAGTGAGGTCCAGGGCACCAGGACTCACCTATGCAAATCTCATCATCCGTTTCAGCGTCGCCGATGCAGCGGAATTTGAACTCATTGAGGGAATCCGCGAACTTGCGCTTGGCGGCCGACAGGTCTGTGGGAGAGGGGGAGCAGGGAAAACAGGGCTGTTAGAAACGGAAAAGTACCCCAACAGCAGGATACAGGCAGATACGTAATCCCAGCTGGCAAACACCCACAGAGGGACCCATTCAATGGGCCCCCCAGCACCACAGAAATTCCCGAGCACTGCCCTTCTGCACCCACCCCAGGACATTTTGGGGTCCCTGTCAGCAGCCCTCAAAATACCCTATAGTGGATAAAACCTCGGAACACCATGAGAACACCATGGGAGCCTAGGCCCAGAGCCGTGGGGCAATGGCAAATAGTGACACACAGTGACACTGCCCTTCAAGAGATGGCACTTCTGCCAGGCTCCCGGTCCCGCTGAGGGAAGGCCCCACAGACATGCAATAATGCAGAGGTTCATTCTTCCCAAGCTGCAGATTCTCTCTGCGATCTGGATCCTATTAAGTTCTTACTTGCAGTGACCTGAGCGGATCCAGGACTGGCTTTTCGAACCGGCCCCGTAACCCAGCACACACAGACACGGTCCCGGGCGCCGTGAGGCCACTGGCTCCAAAGGGAAGTTGTGGCTGCCAGCACTGCCAGTATTAGGAAGACACAATGCTCAGTCCCCTGTGCATTTCTTCACTCAAAGCCCAAAATTCAAAATTCAGTGGTTTTTTCCCCCCTTTCCAAGCACCGGTGGAAAACATGCCTGCACACAAAGGCCGTTTCCTCTTCTCAGACACCAACAGCCGAGAGATAACCACAATAGAATCCAAGTGTTTTGCTTTTCCCATGGGATAAGGGAGTTGGCAGCTTTCTCCAAGCATTAAAGCTGTTCTCCCAGTATTCCTGCTGACAGCCCTGGGGCTAATCCTGCCCAGTTCAGTCCCGGCTGCCTTTGCACCACTGCTTCCTAAGGCAGCAGAAAACCACCAAGCCATGGCAGGCAGGGAGAGGGAAGGCACCGGGAGCTTTCCCAGTGGAAAAGTACAGAGGGGGGCTTCTCCAAGAAGAAGGTTCACACATAACAGGATTTGCACTTTGCTCCCTGGAGGATGGAATGAGCACGGCTTACACCCTGCCAGTGCCTGGAGCTGCCAGGAATCTCCATCGGCACCTACAGATGTAAGCCATGTGTTTTTCAGGGGCAGCTTCTCCAAGTGCTCCTGCCAGGGTTGAAAAGAGAGACTCGGGGGGTTAGAGGGTTTGCTCCAGCTCTGGGGCTCAGTGAAGGGCACTGGGACAGCCCTGGGCAGCTCTTTCCACCCCCCACCACGGGCTAATGTTGGTGCTGGGGGCTTGGGGACTTTCACCAGTCCCAGAGCCAAGTGGCCTCCTGCCTCCTCTGGAACAATAATGAAGATGACGTTAATGACTCAAGGAGCCACTTCCTCCCCCGCAGCCCCGTGCTGACCAGCAGCCACCAGCCACACTCTCTCCACATATACTGTGGCCTCCCTGAGCCCTTGGCCATGTTACATGTGACACATCCCCACACGAACCCGACCACATGATACCCCTTGTGCCCACTGCCAGCTGGGCAGGACCCCAGAGCCGGAGGCTGCTCCAGCACAGGGATGAACACCCAGACAGAGTCAAGCTCCCACAGCCCAGGGCAGGGTAACCATCCCTCCTGCTCAGTGTGAGGACAAGGTTGGGGCTCTGGGACCAGGCATTAGCCAGAGCGAAGCCGAGAAGCCCTTGGAGCCAGCAGCACTGACAGCAATGGCCCAGGGTGCTTATAAATAGGCAAGGGAGAGGCAGGGGGAGATGGAGATAACTCCTGGTGCAACAGCGATAAAGGATAAAATTAGCAGCAGGATCAGTCAGAAATGGAGAGAGGGGCACCCGTGCCTGCCCTGTGGGGCCCTGTCGTCCTCCCTGGGACACCGTCAGACCCACCCACACCCCAGCATCCCCATTTCCTAAAAGCTGGAACCTCTCAACTACATTTCGGGGAAAAAACCCTCCAGTGGAAGCTGGAAGGCATGGTGAGAGCAAGGCAGCCCCCCCACAGGCCAGCTCAGCTCCTGTGGGTTCTTCTTCCCCAGGGCTGTGAACAAGCAAACCCAAAATCCTACAAACGCTTGACAGAAACTTCTGCTTCCTCTCATGCATGGGTAAAACCACCCGGACACTGCACATGAGTCACAGCCAGGCTGTGCCAAGGGCTCTGGAAGTTTTCCTTCCAAGTTCTCCACTGGCTTGATCAGTCAAGTGCAACATCAGGGAAAACCACCACAAAAAGCCTGAAAAATCATTCTGCCTGAGCAACACAACCAGCTCAGGTCACAGTTCTCCTCCTCATCTTCATCACCTTCTATGGCTCCCCCTTCCCATCAGAGTTGGTGGGGATGGGAAGATCCCTTCGGGAAAGTCCACTTGACAGGAAACAGGCACACACACTACAAGCCGGAGGTCCAGCTGCACAGCTACGGCAACCAAGAACCTAAATAAAATGTCCTTTTAAATGTGATGCATCCTCCCTAGCCACTGCATCCTCGACAGTCACAGCATCCCATTCTCGACATCCACCACAGGAACAGCAGGAAGGAGGACAGCTCCCAGCAGGACAGAGGGCAGCAGCCTCATTTAACCCCTTTGTCTGTCCCTCCTCTCTCACAGCCAGTTCAGGGGTCACCCCACATTTCTCCTCCCTCTGCAGCCAGGGAGCCAGGTAATTGCTGGCTGAATTCCTGTTCCAGCCATACACTCCCAGGCTCCCTCCAAACCCAGTTGAAGCCAAAGCTACTCCAGGCCCCAGCAGCCCTGCAAGGGATCAGCAGCAAGGGAGCACCTCGTGCTCCCTCAGACCCTCCTCCTCAGCTACTGAGAGTCAAATCTTTCTTGGAAGTGGTTGCTGTGGAAGAGGATGTCAGGCAAGGAGCTTGACATGGTTGGTATTTATAAAAAGCCCCTTCCAAAGGAATTTGTAACTACTGGAAAAGGCTGTTTCTAGAAGGAAGATGTGATTTCACAACACTCCTTCATGTGCACAGCACCCCGGGCAATACAGGGATGACCCCATCCCAGCCAGGTTCACATCCAGCACCCTGGGAACAACAGGGATGACCCCATTCCAGCCAGGTCTACAGATGGTGCTGCAGTGGGGCAGCCCCAGGGACACACTGCTGTGAGATGGGTCAGCTCTGCTCCCCAGGGCACAGGTGCTGGATCTAACACGTCCCTGGTTCAGATGACCCAGCACATGGAGCCTCTACCACTTTGAAGGAGTAAGTTACACCACAGCCCTGCCACAAGCCACTCTCTCCTGGTCACTGGCTTCCAGCTCCTTCCCCAGCTTTATTCCTCAGCTGGACACCTCACCTCTGTGCAACACCCCGTCACACCTCTCTTTGAGTGTTTAAAACTTTTTCAGGCCTTTCCAAAGGGAACAGAGGTAAAGTGTGCTGAGAGCCTGGACAGCTAAAGAGCAGGAGCAGTTCCCTTAAACCAAAATTCATAAGGAGCAGAGAAGAGATTGGAACTCCTCCACCTGCATGCTCTAGATGGACAGCTGGGAAACGTGACCCAGGACACAGAGGGAAACTGCAACACAGCAAAATGAGATGTTGAGAAGACAAATGCCTGGTCCCGTGTTGGAAAGATCAGGTTGGCCAGAGAAAAGTGAAACTGCTGGCTCAGAGGCCAGGGATCTCCCCACAGCTGACTCTGCAGCCAGTTTGCTATGTAAGCTAGAAAAAGCAAAAGGCTCAGCTGGGCCCAGGACAGGGGCAGGAGCAGCACGATGCCATGGGTGGTTCAGGTTAAAGATAAACTTACTGCTGGGTCTGACCATGAAGGGTTAATGCTGCTGCAAAGGGGGAGCAGAGGATGCTGCTGCAAGGCAAGCTCCAGGCTCTGGGCTCTGACAGGCTGTGCTCACACAGAGCAGGATTTCTACACTTCCTGCAAAGAAAATTGCTTAATAGCCTGCATTTAATGTTCAAGTGGACAACAGGAACCAGGACTCCTGCCCCTTCCTTCCCCTGTGGCCGGGAACAGCAGGCTCAGGCTGCATGTCCCCTACAAGCCCCCACAGAGGGACAGGAGGGTCCCCAGTCCCCTGCTCCTGCCAGCAGTGATACTGCCTATCCCCATCAGCAGCCCCATGGGCCCAAGTGTGTCTGCCCTGGGAAACAGCCCAAATGCAGGAGCCCTGAGAGAGCAGATCTGGGGGTCACCACCGGAGACCCCCCATTTGGATGCAGAGAAAACAGGACACAACAGTTGGCCACTCTCGTGGCACCTCTGCAGCCCCTCAGCTCCCCAGCCATGCAGCCAGCACAGAGCAATCCCATGGCAGGCAGGAGCCAGCCGGGATGGGTAATCCAGGGAACAGCTGCTCTAATCAGCAGCCAAAACAGCCGGATTACAGCCCGCCAAGGGTGCTTAGAAAGCAGCAATATGGTGTCTATCCCCACAGCGAGCCGGGGCTGCCGGCACAACACCAGAGTGAGCCACTGTGGGGTCACACAACACCTCCTGGTGCCCAGGGATACACAGGGATGGGGGGTTGGGAAAGGTCGAAGCTGGGAATGGCCAACTGGACCTGACCGATGGATGCATGGGACACTGTCCAAACCTGGCCCTGTAGTTCACACAGGAATCCAGCAGCAAGCAATTCATGCCTAAAAATCAGCATTTGCAGCTGCCAGCATCAAATTTTACCCTCTAGTCCCAGCCCATGTTCTGCAGGGGTTGGCACCAAACATCAGGGCAGCATCGTTAAACGCTTCATTTGCTCCAGAAGGTTTAAATCCCCTCTCTGCACTTCCCAGCGAGGTCAGCAAAGCCCTGGTCCCAAGAGACACTGCAGTCCTCTGGACCCAGCCCAATCCCCAAGTCTCTTCCATAGAGAATTAGCACTGATTTGTTTATTAAACAACTCCACTAGGCGGTTGGAGTTAATCAGTGATTTAGGATGGGACGGCAGCTGCTGGCAGGTTCCCCCTCTGAATCATCGTTGAGTAAATATATAAACCCAGATGGGAAGAGCCTACCCCACCTCCAGTGCAGCTTCT